GCATCCGCATTTCATGGATCCCAATCTGTGCTCGCAGTACTGGAATAAGTGGCTTTTGCGCCTTGAAGAGTACATGGACAGAAACGACCCAAACTAAGCTACGCAGAGGCAAGTGGTCTGAGCACAGCGCCAAAGCAAGAATCCTTTGTTTAAACCTTCCATTTTAATACATATTCTTTTTTGAGTAACTTTGGCTAATTTCTTGATATCAGTGGTTTCCCCCTCCCAAAGAAAAAGAAAGAAAAATCGGAGTGGGGAATGTGTATTTGGTTACGTTATAGGTGACTTCAGTGGACCTGGCAGGACAAAGCCGACTTAATTAATCTCTGTTTTTCCCCACATTGTTTATACAACCTGAGGTTGATAGGAAAGTTTCTATTATCAAGTAAGACTGTTCAATTAAATCATCCTTCTTCTGTCATTTTGGAGAAGAAAACTGTTGCAGAACTGAGACTTTGAAAACGAAGTTGGTGAACTAAAGCAAAATGACATCTGCATTGTCTGAGCTGAGAGAAATGCAAACAATAAACAAATGAATATAGTAGACTGGGTTTCAGTCAGCTTAGTTCTTGCTCATCTCAAAGGTATCTATTAACAGGCTTGTTACTATTTGTGGTTTTTCTTACAGCAACAACTGGAAAAACTGCGCTAAGAATTATAACCAAAGTTCTCATAAGCACTTATTTAAAATGCTACGGCAAAGTGATCATTTAACAGAAGTGGCTTAGTGAAAGAGGAGCAGAATTGTAACCGATGCACTTAGAAATTTCCAGCAAGTGTTCGGAAAGGTGGGAAGTTTGACAACTTCTAGTGGCTCCTCCTGCAGGTTTCGTAACAGGCTGCGTGGCCCGCGTAAGGGAACTGTGAGAGTGTAAAGGGGCTTTGTACCTTGGGTCGTGAGGCTCTGTGCAGGCCAGGTCTGCAACTGTCTTGGGCTCTCCTGACTCTGCTGTGGGTCTGAGCCCACAGGGAGCCTGCCCACGTGGAACCATCTTGTGCTGAGTTACAGCCTTTGCCAGTGTGAGGAAGTGTCTTTATAAAAGGCTTGTGACTTTGAAGCAGGGCCTTCTGAGGAATGAAGAACTGCGGCTTGGGGTTTGGGGTTTTTTTTTAGGTGTGGGGTTGTTTGGGTTTTTTTTAAATAGGTTTGTGAATAAATGTTCACAGAAGAGTTATTTTTGAAGCTTGTTTCTCTGTCTATAGACTTGATTTTATGAATAAGCCCTGATGATGTCAGGCGATATTGCTTTGTGTGTTGCACACCTGGAAAGCTTTTTTCCTCATTCTCTTTGTTTTCTGTGAATTGTATGTATGAGCTTTCATAGCAACCCTGCAGATTACAAATAAAAATACGACCAACCCATAAGCTTCAAGAACATCAGCCAGAACCGTACCTAAAAAAACCAATGTGCAGGCTTTCTGCTGAAGAAACTTAAACCTCTATAGTGCTTAATCTCTGCTCCTTCAGGGTACTGAACTGTGGAAACCTGTGCAGTAGAACTTAGTTATAGTGGTACTTGCTTATTCAAACTTAGTCTGGTGATGGTATGATTACTCTGTGCTTAATTAGATTTCTATCTAAAAAGACAAACAGGGAGACTGAGAAACTGGGTTCAGAGATGACTAACCACGATGGCGCTGCGTGAGCGCTCAGAAGTTCTACCTGTTTTACAAGTATCTTCCCACATCACAGAATTTTAGCGAGTGGGTGGTTCAACGTCACTGAACACGGTCAATTTTCTGTAAAAGATACGTCTGTGGATACAAAGAGGTTGGGCATAAGCAAGAGGTAAGATGCCCTGGGCAGAAGCAGGAGGTGATGAAATGTAGCAAATTCCCTGTGTTGATTGGGATTGGATAAATCGAGAGAGCGTGGAAGAGCTGGGCAGCGTTTGGGTGGGATTGCCACCTTCATTAGCACATCATACAGCCATGAGATGTCTCTGAACCACGTAAGATGTCAGCCTCATCCCGCCTCTGAGTGAATAAGGACGAGGCTGGAGCCTGGGCAGCACGGGCGCCTGTTGGCTTCCCCGTGTTCATTTGTTTAACCAAAGCCTTGTGTCTGAGGAAGGCTGCCAGCGTCACTAGCAATCTTAGTTTGTAAACCTGTCTTTAAGTCTCGGATGAGCCTGTACCATCGGAGCACCAGCAGAAGGCAGGCAGCCTTCAAAGAGTAGCGGTGGAAGCTACTGGTGCCTGGCACGTCTGAAAGTCTGGCTGCCTCCGGCATCCCTGCATCAGCTCTGCAACACTTCCGTAGAGGCACGCGCTAGGGCCAGTTTCGTCCCGTAACAGAACTGGCCGTTGCCAACATCATGCAAACTCAAACCCGCTTTGTGACCAGTTTAAACTAACTTGCCAGACTGCTAAATTGACATGCCCAAGGCATCTGCTACAGGGCGGATCTGTCCTCTGCAGAAAAACCAGCCAGACGATCAGGGCAGTTACTCCAGCTACAGCATCCAGCTTGTCAGAGCTTTGCTCTCCATCCAGAGCGGTTTTTCTTCTGCGTACTGTTACCTGCTTCTTTTCTCTGCTGCAGTGAACACTTTCTCTGACATTGATGGACCACCTTCACGTGTCTGCGTTTTTTTTCAGCAGGGACATGCTTTGGCAGAGATATTGGAGGGAAATCAAAAGCAATGCGAGCTACAGGACGGGGGGAAAAAAAACCCAACATGCACGCACACGCACAAAATGTGTCTCCAGCTAGATAGGGAGGGTTCCGCTGCAGCCCCACGGCTCCAGCGCAAGGGCTGAGGTTTCAGCGGAGCTGAGCACGCGAGTCCTGGGCAGTCAGGGGAACGCTAGTCGCTTTGCTCCGATGGACTCTACAACAGTCCCGCCTCCGCGCTGAACTCGAGAGCTCAGGTTCACGACGGAGCCCTCGCTGCGCGGGTCACAGGGGAGCGTCGCCAGCGCAAGGGGCTGATCCAGCTGTTAACGCTTTTCTTCGCCAGGCAAGTGTCGATGTATTTGCAAGCACGCAAGCGGTGCGCAGAGTGAGCGACCTTCCGCTTATCCTCTTCAGTTTTGATGGCACGATCTCAGAATGACTGGGGATCGCTGCGTGGGCTTTAGCTCTTTTTGCAAAGTAAGGATCTCTTTTATCTATCTACCTCAGATGTTTTTTCCATGGACTTTCCATTTATTAAAGTATTCTGCGAACTTTCCCGTTATACAGGATGACAAGTTTGTTCTTTACACAGTAGTGTCACTTTATTATCCTCGTTTTCAAGGTCCCAAGCACCGACAATTGGGCTGAATAAAGTATTAATATTATTAGAAATGCTTTAAAGCCCCTGGAAGCTTTTCCCCACAAAAACCTAAGCAGATGCCTGTACAAAACTGAGGCAGACTGAGATGATTTTTATGATTCTTGCAGAGACGCTCAGAATCTGTCATTTTAGTAGTAATGACTATGAAGGTCCTGGCTACAACTCTGTATTTTAGGTGGGTTACTTTTCGGCTGTTGTTTCAATGTATATAGAATACAGCGCATCCTCCCCAAACGTACAGCTTTATTTTGAGCACGAAATGAATTTTTGGAGTTTACAAATGAAATACATTAATCGCTATGCGTTTAAATTGATGTAAAACCTGTTTAGCGGCCGTGTCCATTAAGTTAAGAGACAGATGAATAACCCGTGCGTGGACCAGAGCACCTTCTGGTTGCCGGGGAAGTTACCACCCCGCCCTGTCGCTCCTAAGGTAGACACCCAAATTCCCAGGGAAGGCTGCAGCAGCTTCTGAAGAGTCTTAAAGTGTCAGGCGGTTTCAGCGACACGAGTTATATGGGCATCCCTCTCCCCTTTTTTTTTTTTTTTTAAAATCCCTAAATTTACACTCGCTAGTCCCTATAGGCTACCCGCTCGGTTGCCCTGGGTCAACAGGAGCCGGAGCAGGATAGAGGGGGGTCCTAAATGCACAGAGACGTAGTACCAGTCCCTCATCATCATCATCGCCACCTCCTTCCCTTGTAGCATCAGTCTCACGAGGAGCCTTCTACACTGACAGTGGTTGCAGACCCGAGGCCAGGTTCGTGCCTACAGCTTTGCGCTGGTCTCGAGAGGCAGAGACAGGCTAAGTCCCCCCCTTCACTGCACTGCACCGCTCGGTTGTGTTAGTGAACAGGCGCCTGATCATTAAAAAGAAAATAAATCCCTAAGCGAACACACACGCACACATACACACCATAAAAATACACAAAACACTGCATTTCATCATGACAGAAAAATACATATCTTCAAGTCATTAAAGTGTTTTCTTTGGGTTTCTGGGTTGATAGTGATGTATGTTAAAAGGACGTAGTAATAATCCCCAAAGTGAGCGTGACAAATCCAGGAACATCAGAGTTAAGGTTCCACTTAAATCTAAACATGATAAAATAAGTTCACAGCTTAAAGTACCTAAAACACGACCGTAAGTCTGCCCTGGAGTAATGCCATTTGCTAGTAAAGAAAGTTTGAGAGGAAAAAGTTCTGCATCCTTTAAAAAAAGTTTCAGCTCGCCTTGGATCACGCTTCCATAAATCGTTAGTTTACTGCGCGGGGGGGGCAGAGTTAAGGTTATTTGCACATTTTATCTTATTTACCGATACAGCGTACTCCCGCTCTTAAGACCATTTTAATTCATTTTGCATAGAACAATGTACTAGTAGCTGCTCTTACATGGCACTTTTCACCCAGACCTCTCAAAAATAATTTGTACGGGCGGTAACGGTTATTATCTTTACAAAATACGCTGGGGAAAGGTGAACTTATTTGTAAGTGGCCACTGGGACGTGTGGTAGAGCTGAAACAGAAAACAGGTTGCCCGATTGTCAGTTCAGTAAATACTCTATCCGAGAGGTGATGGCCTCTTCCAAGCTTTCCTTTTTTCTTTTGGCCAGATAAAAAAAAAAAGTCATGTTTGCATCGTATATGGGAATATTTCTTTCAAGTTGAGGTTCTACCGACATGAAGAGAGTCCCATTAACAAAAGCATCCCTTTCATTTCAGGGATTTCTTTCAAAATTGTTTTTAAAAAAATAATATATATATAGTCCTACATGTAAACTTCATTCCTTTCGACCGCTGTAATCCACCGCGTTACTCATCTTTGTCGTCATCTTTGGAGTTCCTCTGCAGGACAGGGCTCAGTTTGTTTTGCAAAACCGCTGCGAGTTTTTTTGAGGTTTTTTTCAGGAAAGCGCTTCCGGGGTGAACGTCGCTAACGTGTAGGTACAGGTCCTCCTGCGTGGGGCCCGTGTAGCCGCAGTCTTCGCACACGTAAAGTTTATCTCGCCTCTGTTTGTAGGCGTACTGCTGCTGCACGCCGTGAATCTTCTTAAGGTGGGACTCCAGGGAGCAGCGCTGGGTGAAGGCTTTGTTGCAAACCTCACATTTGTAAGGGCGAATTCCTGCAAGGTTAAAAGACAGCGATTACCGTTCGGATTTGCGTTTCTTACAGCCGGCTAAGGGACTGGCTAAGAGCAAGGCTCTGGCCTACTGAGCAAATACCTAGCAGCAGCCAGCTACTAGCCCGAGGAACTAACTAAGTAAACATCTTACTTTTGGGCTAAAATTTTCAGGAATGGGTTGATAGATTTAGGAATAGAAAACCTAGAAACAGTTAGAGAAGACGTAGGCAGATGCTGAGGATAACAGGTGCCCAGCGGCGCTTTGGTCCTAAAGAAGCAGCTCTTTTCAGCTCTTGTAAAACTGACTCCTTTAGAGCCCCGACTTTTTGAAGTCCTGTGATTAAGTAAAACTATCGGTTTCAGCCAACCTTTCCTTTTGGCTTTTATAAGGAATGAAATCTTGTATCTCGGTTAATTTTTCTCTTTTAGTGAGCAAAGCTTAACGAGGCTTCAGTGAACGGCAGCCCAACGCGAACATAGAGCAATCACAGCACTTCAGACGAGTGGGAGCGTTTTCACAGAATGCAGATGTGACGACTGAGATCACAAGCTTGAGTTCTAGAGGAGAAGTGCATCAAGATGAAAGAAATAGGTATTACAGGTGTCTCCAGAGGAGGGAGAAGGGGCTGGCTTGTGATTTGAATGCCCGAGCAGTTTTGGTCAGTACAGACAACCAACGTTATAAAAAATACTGAGCCGTAAAGAGTATCCATTTTCACACCAATCAGCGCTGATCTAACAACAACAGCCTCCCAGTACCTGAACGACAGATAGCTGAGGGTCTATCGACACTTGCAAAAACTAAAAAAGTTGTGATTTTACTTACTAGACTGGCTCCATAAGTTTTCAGGCAAAGGCCAGCCTTAAAACTGAGTTACCTAAACCCCTCTCTTTTCCTGACGAAAGGTGAAACGCGAGTGTGTGGAGGATTGGACCTGTGGCGAGTAACAGCCCAGCAAAAAGGGGCAAAGCGCCCGTGTTCGTGCAGACAGCTGTACCTTTGTGATCGGATTGGGTCAAGTTCACCTCTCGGTCGCTGATCTTTCTAGCAGAAATCCAAACTGATTAGAAGTTCCAATAAGCAGCATCTCGATTGCATTTTTGCAAGTCTTGTAAAAAGAGGTTATCCCAGTGCACTGGCTTCAACTGGCAAGACTAAGGTTTCCCAACGCCTACTGCTGTGAGGCTGCTTCAGTTACGTTAAACATTAATTGGAAGGAAACTCCAAATCTCCATACGAATTCACACACAAAACCGTACCTTTTGCAAACAGTATTTTGGGTGCCGTTTCATGCTCATCCGAAGGCAATTTAAACCTTCACCGTCCTTGGTTTCTGATGCCCACAGTGCTCCACAGGCACGAGTGCGAGCGCAAGAGGGGTAGTGCCAGGGTGGCACAGCCCATTGGCGCTGCGGGAACTTCTTCGTTACTCAGGAATCATTTTAAAATTTGATATTACTGTGTATATTAGTTACTTTTTAATGTTTAAGCCTGCTCATGCCGTGAAGCTAGACTGGGACGTTATGGCTTTCACTTTGCCTGACACTACCCTGCTGTTGCACAGTCTGGTTACAAACACTGCACGACAATTTCCACTGGAACACCACAATTCAGTAAAGCACATGTAGATGAGCACCCTTAGCTACAAAATAAAGCCAATGCTACCACTTCCAGCTTAGCTGGTTTCTTTTTAACATTCAAATATAGCCCAGCTTTCCTGACAGCAATCCGCTTTGACATAAAAAAGGCCACCTCTTTTAGAGATGCCATATTTCAGCCTGGAAAAGATACATGCCAAAACGCTATCGGTACCGCTGCTGCAGCCAGCCTTCATCCCCGCCATGACCCAAGGCACCAGGCAAATACAATATATGTGAGAGAGGAGAAATAGTGATGCCAGATTTCTTCTAGTAAATTTGGGGACAATCTAACCATAAGATTCACATTTCCAGGACAGTGTTTTTTCACTCCTGTCCAGTACAAAGATCTTTCCTCCCTTCCAGAGTTTTGCAAAATTGGCTCCATTCCCGCATAGCGAGTTCAACCCTACCTGCCGCAGCGTAGATATATTTTTAGCTTCTGAACAGAGACCCTCTCGGCATTAGTTTCTGAATCTCAAAGGATGAGGGGACAGGTTGAAAAATGACTTCTTTCCGAAGCACCGACTCCACACTTCAGCCATACCCCAGCGGCAGCTCCCTGCTCGCAGCCAGCGGCTTTCCTTTCCACATGAAAGCTTTGCAAACAAACCAAAACAGTCCAAAACGTTGGCTCCGGCCAACGCTTTCCCATCGAAACGGGCAGCATTGTTTTTGTGAGCTCTACTGCTAAGAAACAACTCCTGCCCACCAACATACTTGCGTCACCTCTAGCAGGGCACCTGGTTAGCAGTGCCTAAGCCAAAAAAGGGACGTTGCAGAGCGAGCCCAAATAATCGGCAGGTCCCGTAAGCGACACAAATGTGGAAAGCTGGAACATGCCCAGCAGATGCGGTGGATGCATCTTCTGGGTGCCCTACAGCGCAAATTCAGAGCCTCCCAAGCACAGCCAGCTTGGCCTGCCAGAAAGCGTCTTGCTTGGTGAGGACAGGGTTGGTAGGTATTTAAGCCATCACTTCCACTAAGAAGAAGAAACAGAAACAAAAAGGTGGCCTTCTCCCTGCTCCAGGTTAGGATAAGCGCTGGTTCTGTGACCAGTAAGCTGGACCTGAGGCAACCGGTCCGATTCAAAGAAACACAACCGCTGCTGTTTGGGGTGGGCTCAGGAACCAACCCCACTGCAGAGCAGCCACAGAAAGTGCATCCCCCTGGCCCGGGGCAGCGACTGGGGAGCAAGAGTGCGCAGAGAAGGGAAAGGGACGATTTTTCTTTCTTCCAGTGCCATCCCAGGCTTAAATCACAGCGGTCTCGGTTTATGCCTGTACATCTGGTGTAGACGCAAGCAGGGAGTAGCCCAGGTTACAGGCAACTTTTTTATTCCCCCTTAATCCAGAGCAGGAACCACTGTCAGGAGATTTTCAACCCGCTGCCTCTGATTTTCAACCCATGCTGTGACCCGCACGGTAAGTGAGCAGAGACGGTTTAGCCCAGTGGCCAAACTGATCTGGGTGGCTGGATATGCAGAGGGAGACAGCTCCGAAAGGGGAGCTGGTAGCCCGAAGCAGGCGGGAATGCAGCACGCAGGGTTAGCAGAAGTCAGATGTGTTGCCTAGTTATCCTAAGGAAACCGGAGGCACAGCACAAACCACGCTCTGGTTTCTCCAGACAGTGCCAAAATCAAGCCATAACCCCATCCCGTGGGATGGCCAGCGGGGAAGGTTCGCAAAAAACCCAAGAAACTGCTGCTCCTTGCCTCTAGAGGGCAAAGCATTTTCATCCACGGCCCGCCCGCGCTCGCCGGTACACGCTGGACTCGCAATAACGTGCGGTGAGTTACCCCGGGTGGGTTACCCCGGGTGGGCTATCCCGGGTGGGTCACCCCGGCCTCGCTGACCCAGGCACAGCAGCACACGTCCACATCTCCACTGGCCCTGGATGGCAGCTCACGCACCCACGCTGCCTCACACGGATTTCATTAGTTCTCCTCAGATTTCATTAGTCCCGGGGCTTTTATCTGTCCACACTCACATTTTTCCCTTTCCTCCACCACTATTTTTTGCAAATCCACGCTGGTTTTTTGCAAATGTTGTTTACCTGGGCTTTGTATTATTGTCTTGCTGGGTTACCCTCCGCCCCGTCCCCATCCCGTCTCACCCCTTCTCCCACCTCCCGCTACCCAGAGCCATCCACAAGCCGCCGGGCAGCGCGTCCTCACCGGTATGGGTCCGGACATGTCTTTTCAGATCAAAGGTGTCGTTGAAGCCTTTTCCGCAGAAGGTGCACAAGTGTCTCTTCACCTGGCTGTGACACTTGATGTGACGGTTGAGCATCCGCTGCAAGCGAAAGCCTTTGCCGCACAGCTCGCAGCTATGCACCGTAGCATCATTACAGGTGCCGGTGGTGAACTGAGGAATGGAAGAGGACAGGGTGAGTAGGCATCGAGATGACAAAGACCAACAGAAAACAAACAAAATAAGGAGGGATGGCTTACTGTGGCATTAAAAAATTCTTGGGATATATTCAAAATGAAAAGTGAAAGCGTTTGGGAGATTCTTGCCAGGTGAAACCTTCACGCTTCCCTTGCAATCAAGTGGGTGACTTAACGCGCACGGTTTGGGACTGATGCAACGCTGGCCAGCTTGGCTCCAGGAGTTAAACCAAAGCCTGTGCGCTGGATATACCTCCCAGAGGCAGGGACCCTCGTCCAGCTACACCCGTAAGCACACACATAAGGCTACGAGCACCTCTCCGTGGGGCCGCACATGTGTTTACTCCTGCATTCAGACTCCTTGTCAGAGGCGGGAGGCCCTCCCTGGCATGAGAAAAGTCATACCCACACGGCGCCTTCGCTAATCATGCTTCCAGCTGCTGTGGGTCCCTCAAAAACTGGCCAGCGGTGAAAAAGAAGGTAGGTTTGGCCAGATAAACCAAGGCGCATTGCGCTGACTCAGCAGAGACTGAAACAATGGCACTAATCTCCTCCCGTTGGTCTCCTGGGCTCGTTAATTTACGGCAGAGTGTCATTAGGGGTTAATCTCCTCATTCCCGCTCCTAACACCAAAAATATTGCGCCAACACCATGACCTAACTTGACTAAGGGAGACACTGATGATTCAGCTCTTGGGAAGAGC